AAACCAAAGCAGACACCAGGGTACTTCTGCATATGCACATCTTTCATTGCTTTCCACATCTGGTCAGGTTGATCTCTGAATTGGTTGAGATGAATTTTCTGATCATCTTCTACCATTAAATAGATCAATCCTAAAGCCTGATCATTTTCCTTGTTTCAATCTTGGAGTTCTTTCTTTTTCTCTGCAGTTGGAGCAAAAAAGAGAGGCTTCCATCTTACCAGCCCAGCTATTATAGTTGGTGTTAGAAAAGTGTCCAAAGACACTATTCTGATCACTATCTCATTCCACACAAGTCCTAATTCCATCTGACAGTTCCCATCTGTCACTCAGTTGTCAATCTGTCAATCTGTCATCCAGCTGTCATCCAGCTATCCATCTGTCAAACTTTCTTATTGTTCTTATTGTCTCCCATCCCAACTCTTATTGTTCTTTCACATATATATAGTGTAGCTAGTTTTCCCTAAAGTCCCCAGTTTCTAACTCAGGACTTCAGGTCAGTAGCACAGTCTTGTTTCAATCAAACCAGTTTCTAACTCAGGACTTCAGCTTTAGGTGTCTTCTATTGACCACTGTGCTTTGCCTGTTTTAACAGGTTATGGGCCCTGGTGCATCCATTGTGCTAGCTTAACTTTGTGACCTCTGATAATATGTTAATAATAAGTCTTGAAGACTTGCTACATCAAGGGAGAATGAATATTAGATGATGATGGGTCAAGTCATCTAATAGGAATGATCCTCTGAGTCATCCATATAAACTGCTTGTGCCAGTTCCCACAGTGCACTTGGATAGCAGTAGAAGACTATGATCAACCTTGAGTATATCATTGAATATCCAATTCTAAATTGTACTTGACTACCTAGCTCAGTGGTTAAAGCACTTATCCATATTTGCAGGAGGTCTCAGATTCAATTCCTGGTGTAGTCATATTATTAGATTTCAACAGTTGGTAGCATTGAACTTGGTGATGTTAGGAATAGAAAGTGGCCTAGTAGTAGTAAAATCAGCTGTTTGGAGTGTTTGTGGAATTTGGGGAGTTGATAGACTCAAAGAGTAGTAGGCTGAGGCAAATAGAAGTAGTGGAAATCACTTAAAAGTGTTTTGAAAGCAATAGAAACTGTGTAGCAGTATCAGAATAGAATACAACCACTTCTAGTCAAGATAAACTGGCAGGGTTTCAATTCAGGTCCTCATAAGTGTGCAGCAGGAAGGTGAGGTATAGTAAGCTAACTAAATAAACTAAAGACTCTGCAATTGTTGGATCTCCCAGTTAGATGGGTTAGGCTTCACTGGTGAAAGGAAATGGCTTCATTTAAGGGATACCACCCAATAGTTCAGAGTCTATATATATAGAGGGAGCTGCAGCACTATAAGGACTAAAACACTGTTACAGAAAGCTCTGAAGCAGTATAATAGGCAATAAATAGACTATGATAGCTTTAGAGCTCAGAGCCTATAACCTGTTGAAACAGGTAAAGCAACAGTCAGTAGTCAATGGAAGACACCTAAAGCTGAAGTCCTGAGTTAGAAACTTATTTGATTGAAACAAGAAAGCTGAAGTCCTGAGTTAGAAACTAGTTTGATTGAAACAAAACTGTGCTACTGACCTAAAGTCCTAAGTTAGAAACTGGGGACTTCAGGAAAAACTAGCTATACTATATATATGTGAGAGAACAATAAGAGTTCCAAGACAATTAGGACAATAAAAACTGTCAGATGTATATCAACACAATAAGAACAATAAGAGAGATTGACAGATAGACAGCAGATGGGAACTGTCAGATGGAGTTAGGACTTGTGTGAAATGAGATAGTGATCAGAATAGTGTCTTTGGATGTTTTTTTTTGCTAGGTCTCACAGTTAACATGCCATGTATATCATTGGAGAAGAGTATCTTGGTGCTCCTTACAGAAGCTATTGAGTATTACATGGCATATGTAGTGTAACAATACCTAGATAGCAATTTGGAGGTAGTGCAGCATGCCAAACAGCATCAAAATGTGTTTGATCAGAAGGTGCAGGACTTGAGAGCAGGACCTGTCATATTTTAGAGAGGGAAGCTGGTATAGGTCTACAGAAGTGACTTAGCTATGGCATTGAGTATAAAATGAAAGCTTGCCCCTAAATAGTCCCTTCTGAAGTGCATCATGGCTCACAATAGAAACTCTTATAAGCTGGAGTTGCTGGATAGCACACCATTGGAAGGAGACTTCAGCATGTGTCAGTTGCAGGAGTTTGCATTGCATCTGGGTACCAAATTAGAAGAGTTGCAGCATATGTTCATAAGTGGAAGGAAGACAGACAAGAAGGAGGAGGAGTTGAAGGAAATGCAGCAGGTGGAGAGAGGTTGAGAGATGAGGAGTGCTGCATACAACAACAGGAGAAGATATCTGAGTTAGAGGAGGAGATTGAGGAGATCAATGATAATGCAGAGGAACTACAGGTAGCAGAGGCTGATATGGTTGCAATGAGGATTCAGTTAAGGTGATGACGCAGCAGGGATGCTATCATGTGGAATAGGGGTAGGTGGAGTAGTGTTTTTGCAACATGACTCTAGATTGTCATGTGACCATAACAGTGGCATAGATTTAGTACTGTAGATATAAACAGAATGACAACATATATATATATAGTGTTCCACTGAGTACACTCACATTTGCTTGCTTGCCCACTCCAGCAGATATATTGTTGTTAAAAGACACTCAAAATAGAGTGAAACATCCTTCTCTGTCATCAATCCAATTGAGAGTAGATTAATCAATGTATCTAGGGCATGTAGGCAGTCTAAGAGAGCAAATACAACCACATCACCATTTACATAAGTCTGAAAATGACATTCTCCCTTTGTCTCTAGAAACTCTGAGTTAGCCATATCTACAAGCACTACTTTTCCCTCATCATATGTCCAAAAAAACAGCTTTACTACAACTACCTCCTTCCTCAGCTATCTTATCCTTAATGATATGGGTAGTATACCTTGAATTCAAGATTATGTTATAGTGTAAGAAGACTAAATCAAGGTCTTCAGGTATAGCAGAAGTGGCAAATTTGTTATAATAAAGGCAAGCAGTTTCTATTGCATGTTCTGGCAAGTCTTCTAATACAATATTGGGTGTATCATCAAGATACAGTAATATAGGTGTTATCTGTTCTGTATCTGTATCAGCCAAATGTGTATGTTGTTGAGGAAACTTGGATTCTCCAGGTTTGGACCATGTCTCTGTTAGAAAAGTGTCTAAAGACACTATTCTGATCACTATCTCATTCCACACAAGTCCTAACTCCATCTAACAGTTCCCATCTGTCACCCAGCTGTCAAT